GATCAAGAACTGGGAAGTGATAGTAACCTTTCACTGGAAACGGTGGGCCGCGTGATCCAATAATAACGTTTTTGCCAGGTAGTCGAAAAAGGTCCTTATTCGTGGGTGAACAGCGTGGCCCGCATCTCCTGATAGCGCCGAAAGTTTTGGTGTTAATAAACCAGTGGTGGTGTCAGTCTTCAAAACTTGTCGCAGAAGTGCTCCGTGAAGCTGATTCTGCTTATTCATATCTGCCTTTTAGTGCTTCATCTACCATTTCTATGCTGGTGTACGAGCTGGTGGTGGTATTGGAGACGAACTGGAATCGCCATATGGTGACGAGCTCGAATATCCGCGAATGTTCTACGACATCTCGTTCTTCTTCTTCGTCATCGTCATTCTTGTTGCCATCATGCAAGGTATCAGCAACGTTGACTATCACTGGTTTTCTCTAATGGTTGACTAGCATGAGCTGTTTCATCATCCTCGAAGAAGGAGATTCGTTGTTATTCTATCTGATGTAGCCTTTAGCTGTACCAGTGTGATGAACAACTGTTAATGCAGATTTTTTACTTTACACTTCTTTTTTTAGTTAGAAATTGCTAAAACAATCGACTCCTTTCGCTACTCAGCAGTAGATATCGGAGGTTAACGACGTGGGGGCTCCCCCCGCACAATCCCCACCCCTTCCTTTTTGCCTCTTTTCGTGTCTATATATTTATCGGAAGAAAGATGTTATCCGCTATCGTTGCAGGTTTGATCATCGACGCTTTCGGTGAACTTCGTGATCAGCAAGAATCTGCGACAGAGAAACTCGAATCGTCATGCTTTATCTGCGACATTGGTAAAGAAACGTTCGATCGAATGCCGAGAGGCTTCGAAATTCACACCACCAAGGAGCATAACTTTGCCAACTACTTGTAAGTGCTCAGTTTTCCGTGTGCACTAATACAGAGGCCACCGCCCTAGGATTTTTTAGTCTCTGTAAACTTATAGCCTGAAAGTGTAGATAGGTATCGTTTCTGCGGCAGTTTCATATCCTTACTTCAATATTGATAGTTTGTTTTCGTGAACTAACGCTCGCTTGTAAGGTTTCTAAGTGCCAGAGTTCTTCGAGGGATATTTTGTAAAGTAAGGATGGAACGCTTGTAGGGAGGACAAGGTCGAAAGACGACGCAGGGGAAATATGCCCAGTAAAAAGGAAGGCGGCTTCTACGACCTAGCAGGGCCGTACCGGGACGCTTTACGCCCTGCCTCTGGTCACCCTTTCGCCGTCGGATTCTAGCCATACTAGCGATTTGGCAGAGATGCAGAGCTGTGTTCAGGTTGATGAACTCAGCACTGATGAGACTCGCCCCGATGAGGAAGTCGACCAGTAAAAAAGGTCCCATATTTTTAGGCCGTATTTCTTAATTTTTTCGTCCCTGCACCACTCACCCCTGCACCTTCATCTATAATGGGGTCCTTTTTGTTGTGAACTCCGCCTCCAACAGCGTTTTCGCTAGAATTAGGGCTCACTGTATTTTTGGTGAAAGCTGACTATTGTCCTTGGAGGCAAGCGTGAGTTACGTCTCCTCATACATGACACCAACTTGTTTTGATTTGATTTCACATTCCTCTAAACACCATGTAGATTTTCAAAATTGGATTTCAGGTTCTTCTTACAACACTTGGTCAATAAAGACGACACCGAATACACAGGTCAAGAAACGTATGTGCGAGAGAAATACGATAATAGGTATGTGCAGCTTCAGAATGACCTGAGAAAGAATATTATAGCATTGACCTGAAAAAAAGAATATTTCAATAGACCAGTGGTTGTTTCGGTAGAAAGGAGCAAGGCGCTTTATAATCCAGGTCATTAACACGTTGGAGACCGCGCATGTTTTACGTTTTGCGGCCGCGTGGCACTTCATTGGAACTTTTAGGAATCCTAACAAGCAAATTGGAAGGAAAACCTAAAGCGTGATACAGAAGAAACCTCGTCTTATGACACAGAAAGGAAAACAAAAGAAAAATTAACATTAATTTTCAAAATTTGGGCTGTAAGATTCTAGGCGATTGACGGACTGCAGCCCTCATATAGGCTTTGTGGGCTTCAAGGTGTTGACATATAATCACAGTTATTGTAACTCGATTATTTTCAGAGATTGGGACTTCTTCCCTGTCGGCGAATGCTTCGTGAAACAGTACGAAGATCAGCTGTTGCAGTCATAAGCGTCCGATGTAGATGTAGATGTAATTATACATGTATTTGTAGTAGTAGGCCATAGTTGAGGCCAACGAGACCACTCTCTAGTCTAACAGGAGTCACAATTTCAATCTAGTCAGATAATTTATGTGCACAAGGACTGTTGTTATACTGCTTGCCTACTATATCTAGTCCTATACCGGCAGCTGCACTAGTCTAGCAAGGTCTTCTTGATCAACCGTTATCGGTATACTCTCAAACTTGCTCAACACTTCGCTCAATCATATTTGTGCTTTTCTCAAAAAAAGAACGAACAAAGCTTTAATTATAACTACCACTGTGTGCCTTTACGTATTTTGTTAGATGGTAATAAATTTTTTGAATGGTCGATGATGTTTGAGTGAAAGAAAAAATTTCACCGACCTGTTGCTGTAATTAATCAGCAAGATCCTCAAAAATGACATTGTTCGACAAGTTCTTTGTGATACCAGACTTACCAATCATGTGAGAGCTGGCGATGCGCAATCTAGTCGGCTTGTACAACTCCTTTTCGTCAGCAAGCAATTGAGAGACTACATTAAACTGCCTTTTCCTGGACTACTGGATCAACACATTAGTGACAGCGCGTGTTTGGCTTCTTCGGTCTCATGGGTAGTGCAACTTTGCAAGCGTGTTGGCCCAACCTTGCGTGTAACCGGCGTGTGAATTTTATGTACCAAATGCAAGCCCCATTAGATATCACTGGACTAATCATTAATGTATGCTATACGAAGCTATTCGAGAAGCCCATCTGTCGCGAAACACGAAGATCCGCTCCAACAGAACCCTGGGCGCGCCGGTGCCTGCGAGCATCTGCCGATATGACCCAGCCTGATCTCTCCGTGATCGTGCGGCAACGCACGGGCCGGTAGCATCGGCACCATCACGGCCTGGCCTGGTGTTCCCTTCGTCTTCGGGTTTTCCCCCTGCTTCGTATTCTTCGGCAGACTCGTGGGGCTCTAGCCCTTAGAACTATATTCGAGACTTCTGTAATCCAACTTCTCGTGGTCGAGCGGCGGGTCGATGGAAGCGACCCGACGTGAGTTAATTTTTACTAACCTTTTATATTTCATTCATGATTTCGGTTGAGTAGTTCAGTAGAATGAATTAGAAGTTAAGTCATAAAATTAGTTC